GGTTGTCCTAAGATATATGGTGAGCATTACTAATAGCTCACGAATATCCTTACCGGCCATGTTTTTTTTTACAGCCATAAAGTAGGAGAGAGTGAACTGATGCTCCTCAGTACACTCATCCTTTTACTGGTAGACATCATACGAATCCTAACTAATCACAATCAAATGTGTATATAAGAAATAACATCAGGCTCTTCGCTAATTTCCATTTTGAAGTCATGTGTTTGATTAACCTCGAAACTATTGTATTTTTTGATGTCAGTTACCTCATTTCAATGAAGTTGCTTATAAGGCAACAATCATAAGACACTATGAGATTGAACTTTCCACCTTATCAATTCGAGTTTTCATTATTGAAGACTTTATATATTAATCTTGTCATGTTTTTTCCTAAGTCTAAAACACTTTGATATGTGTTGTACCGCTGCTACGTATCGCTATTCAGTCCTAGCGGCGTTCGAATTCAAATATCCCAATACGACCCAAAATGCTATTTCCAAATCTCCTAGATATCAGAACGCAACACCGTGGAATGGAGTTGTTTATTAGGTCGAGTACAGAAGAGAGGTAGGCAGGAAGGAACGGAATTGGAATCCGAATCCTGAGGGCTTTTACAGATAGTGCGTATTTATACATTTTTTGGTCGAATAGGAAAGAGCATCAAAGTCTGTAACATTATTGACAGTTTAGGACGACGACCAATAGGAAAGAACATTTGAAATGACATTGACAGTTCGGATGACCAATAAGAGATAACATTGAAGTATTTGACTTTGACAGTTAAAACCATCATAATTTTGACCAATAGGATTATACTTCTAAAAATAGTAGTACTCCTAGGATATTTGGTGAATATCTTAACAATATGTGACATATTCTACCTGATTTAATGATTCGTTCTGTTTTTACTCTTTTCTTTCTTTACCTCTTCTCTCTGACATTCACATTTCATCGTTGTGCTGCTCCTCTTCCTCCTGTCTCTCCCACGCACACCCACACACAAACACACGTGAAATTTTCCAGTTTACTTGGATTCGATATTGAGTTCAATTTGTTTTCTCCACCGATTTATCAGTTGGATTGGACACAAAGTACTAAATGTTATCGTTTTATGATTAAGGTATGTTGTGATAGATAATGATAATTACATGTTTTTTTTCATATACACACTTCATTGTGTTAATGTTGATCAATTTTTCGAATGATGTACAGTGGTGTTCCAGGATTGAATGTGATTGATACACACAATGCTAAGCAACTGTAATTGGACTACTACTTGAACAAGTATGCAGGCGTAGAAAGGAAAATCTACTCATCTATTGGTCTGCCATTCTTACATAGCACCCGTTTCCTAACAACAGAATTGCTTACTCGGCTGTCCCACGATATACGAGCAATGCTTCTTAAACATCTATGATCGAATACTAGTAACCTACGAACATCTTCTACTCTTAACGGCCATGTTTCACAGCCATATAAGAGAACGGAACGAACTGCTGCGCAGTACACCCGCCCTTTGGTTAGCGAACGGATATCTCGCCTGCGCCACAAGTGACGCAGGTTGGCAAAAGCCAATCGAGCTTTCTGTATCCGAGCTGAGATTTCGTCAGTCACCAGACCGTCAGCACTGATGAGACTCCCCAGATAAGTGAAGTGATCTACACGCTCGACTACTTCACTCCCTATCACTAGTTCAGGTGCCGAAGCAACCCAGTCTTGAAGCAACATTTTGCATTTCGAGGGGGAAAACCGCATCCCGAACATGCTCGCATTGTTGCTTATGGTAGTCAGAAGACTCTGCATTTTGTCAGCGTCTTCACCGAATAGAACTATGTCATCGGCATATTCTAGATCAGTAAGCGACTTTCCTGGTAGAAGGTCAACCCCCGAAAAATCTGACGAGCTTAATGTTAACTCTAAGAGGGATGTCTACGACAAAGTTAAACAAGAATGGAGAGAGTGGACAGCCCTGACGGACACCACTTGATGTAGAGAATTCAGATGACAGTTCGCCATATGCTCTCACCCGACCAGTGGTGTTCGAGTAGAGTGCTTGTATAAGGTTAATGTACTTCTTTGGTACACCTTTCAATGACAGACACTGCCACAGAACCTCACGATCCACTGAGTCGAATGCCGCCTTAAGGTCCAGGAACACGACTATTGTCGGACGTCTAAATGTGTGTCTGTGTTCCAGGACCTGTCGTAGTGTGAAGATGTGGTCTATACAACCACGTCCAGGTCGAAAACCAGCCTGGTTTTCTCTACTCTGCTCTTCACGAGCTCTAGTTAGACGTCTAAGTATAAAGGAGGCTAACAATTTAGAAACTATATTAGTTAAACTGATTCCCCTGTGATTGTCACAAGAGGACTTTTGTCCTTTCTTGTAGATTGGGACAATGAGCGACTGAAACCAGTCGGTTGGGATTGCGTCCAGTTCCAAGATTCTACCTAAGATCTCAGTCAGTCTAACTGTTAAAACTGGACCACCATCCTTAAACATCTCAGGGGTAAGCCGATCAAGACCTGCTGCTCTACCTCCCTTTAGATTTCCTATAGATTTCTCAACTTCATGTAGACTAGGAGGACTTAAATCGATTTGCCATCGCCATCGCCCAAAATGAAGGTTCACCTGAACACATGATATACGAGAAATGGAAAGGGAAGATTTACACTTCATAACATATTCGACTGTCCATCCGAAAACTGGATGCATAGGCCACTAAAGTAGTGCGCCCTACTACGAGTTCAACGCAACCACCAAACATGTATACTGAGTATACATACTCCCCAAGTAGTTCACAAATAATTTGATAACATAATCAATGCTTTCTCAATCTGTGTACAAATAAGTTAATTTTTTATCTTCTTGCTATACTCTTGTTTTTTTATTTCTAAAAAGATCTCTTTAGAAAATCCATCACAATCAGGTCAAATGAAAATTATTCTACGTGCACCTTACGCCTCGAGTATATGTGATGACATTCCGAAACAATTACATCATCACACTGATTTCGATTCGTTACATCATCAGCAACATCGTCGTCATCACCAACGTCATCACCAACGTCAACAACAACAACATATGCCATCTTCATCAATGAATTACACTAATCGTAGTACTACTACTGATGGTACTCCTCCTCCTCCTACTACTACTCCTAATGCTACTGCTACTCCTAACACATTTACACAACAACAGCAATTGACAATGTTATCGAATGAGAAAAAGAACAAATTATTAATTCAGTTTTGGGATCTACTAAATTCCACTACTACTACTACTGCGACTACTACGACTACGACTATTTTGACAATGGAAAGAAAATCATTCTTTTCACGTAGTCACTTAGTGATATTGATTGATAGTGCTACATTGAGTTTAGGCATTATATCATGTATACTGTGTATACGTTCAATTATACAAGGATTTCATATATGGCTTGTAAGTTGTTTTGTAGTATACTTGTGGATTGTCAATGATGATTTTTATTGTATTTGATTATGTAATCATGTGTATCAAATTATTTGTTGATGATTTGAACTTGAAAAACGAACTTACCTTGAATAATATTTGAATTGGTTTGATTTTGACCAATTTGGTCTCTCGTGTGCTGTGACGGGTATGAGGGGCGGTTGTCGATTCCTGGCTGCCCACACACGCCGTGGAAGGTTGTTTCTTGAGGGACCTGAAAAGGAAGATTAGATTAGTGTTGGTCTTGGAGACCTGGGTGCGTGACCGCAGAGTCCAAAGGCCAACTGTTTGGGGCCGATCACGCACGGCCTTTTTATGAAAGGATTTTTGAGTATTAGCTCCGCTCTTAAAAGCCCTTAATGGGCACCCTTACCGACGGAGACGGAAATCCGTGAGGTAAGGTGAGGTGTGATGTTTCTAGGGTCGACCTTTTCTAACCCTCCCTTTCTTGTGAGAAGGCAGCATCGCTGCAGACACTGGTTGTCTGAGGGAGACACCTTACTGCTGTCACACCCCTCCATCACAGTCAGCAGTATGACTTCGCCCTCAGACCTTGAGTAGCTTCTTTTAGTCTCATCGTTATCCAATCGACCGGCCTAGCATGGTAGAACGTTCAGGAACATATGTTCCAGCCAATATAGCTCGGTTGGGTCGTGAGGATAGACAAACCCGACAACCATGTCATGGTAGCAGCTATGGTCCATGTTCATCAAAGTTTTTCAACTACCACCTTGGATTCCTCGTATATAAAACAATACGATTTAAGCGCTAAATATGGAAACTCTGTTGGAACGATGTAGTAATGACAACGACCGTAGAGGTCCTGAATTCTTCGAAAACTGTCGGGGAGAATGTGACAGGATTTATGTACAACCATAATGGTTATATTATTTTCCTTAATAGAACTAATCGATCTTCATTATCGTTGCCTCTGAATGAATACTGACACTCACTGGTAATATCATGTTAACAGTGCAAACGGTTGGCAACGTGAATTCAAACACAGCGATGTAATCATTTTTAAACACTGACACGTAGTATGAATGTTGTCCTAGTGAATTTTGAAATAGCGCAGGTGCATTCACTCTTTGTGTTCTCTCAATTTCTAATCTTCTGGTGTCGTCAACACCTCTACTTTTGTCTTTCCAAACTTATCTCACTGAATTATACCTCTTTGAATATTATCTTCAAATCCTAATCTTCTCCATTAGCAGGAATTCTTCTACTATCTCTACCACTATGTGATTTGAATGGATAATAGCCTCTCTGTGCTAATGTGGCCTGGCAACATGAACTGATGTACTTACATACGTAGTTCTACGTTGTAAATGACTGACTGACTATCCCAGCGAATTCCTATTTGCTGACATTTGGATTGCTTGGAAAAAGCTGAAGGTGTGGTCACAGCGTATTGAAAGAAAGCTACAAAGGAATCTGAACTGCTGGTCCTTCATAACCCCTTCGTTTGGATTCTAAAGATGGTGCAACTCAATGGCTTGAGATGTTATCAAACATAGTTTTTTGAATGGAAGACAGTCGCCATCCTGTTCTAAGTTTCTTTTAATTTGTTCATATATATATTATTACTAATGTTTCACTCTCATACAACGTATTTTTTTTATTATGGCACTCATCGAAGACACTGGATGTGAGGTTGCGCAATATCATGCAATGATTCAAGTTTTAAAAATAACTCCTTTGTATCCCATCGATTCAGTAGTAAAAGAAGGTTGAGCATTCATTCCCATACGAGACCAAAGTTCCTGGGTGCAACTAGAGTTTCATTAGTCAATATGCCCTGACTGAAGCTGCTACCTTGACGTGGTGGTCGGGCTTGCCTATCGTGATGACCCAACCGAGCTATACTGGCTAGAACATATGTTCCTGCAGGTCCTACCGTGCCAGGCAGATCGATTGGATAACGATGAGACTAAAAGAAGCTACTCAAGGTCTGAGGGCGAAGTCATACTGCTGACTGTGATGGAGGGGTGTGACAGCAGTAAGGTGTCTCCCTCGCATAACCAGCATCTGAAGCGATGCTGCCTTCTCACAAGGAAGGAAGGAATTAGAAAAGGTTGACCCTAAAAATGTCACACTCCCCCTACCTCACGGATTTCCGTCTCCGTCGGTAAGGGTGTCCACTAAGGGCTTTCAAAAAGAGCGGAGCTAATACTCAAAAAACCTTTCATAAAAATGCCCTGCGTGACCGGCCTCAAGCAGTTGTTCGTTGGGCTTTGTGGTCACGCACCCTGGTCTCTAAGACCAACACTAATCTATCTTCCTTTCCAGGTTCGTCAAGAAACAACCTTCCACGGTGTGGGCGTCCAGGAAGTGACAACCGCCCTCATACCCGTAACAGCACACGAGATCAAATTGGTCGAAATCAAATCCTTCCTACACCCCGTAATACCTCTCTTCTCTCCACGACTAACTCTTCTCACATTCATTTATCACAGTGCACAGCTAATGCAAACGATGCGAGTTCACGAAACGTCATTCCTGGTCTCTTGAAACCTCGTTCCTCATAATCATTAATACCTCTACTATCTTTATCACTATGGGATTTGATTTGACATCTGCGTCCTTGTGCTAATGTGGTATGGCAACATGAACTTATGTACATACGTACGTAGTTCTACGTTGCAACTGACTGACTGACTCAGGCGTAGTCAAAAGCATACAGAATTCTTATGATGGACTTACAAAACGGTTAGAGACGTTAGATCCTCAGAACTCACTTGATAAAGGTCGTAATTTTGAAATTTTCTATTTCCGCGCAAGAAGTGTGATCAGTTAATTATGAGATTACATTTCCCATTCGGGAAATCTTTGACTGTCATTGGTTGATGTAGTATTACAGAACACTTTTGTGGCTCTCCCAAGGATTTTTCCATCATGTGTGCTTGAGAACCGCATTTTTTTGGGTGCTTGTAGAATACACTTTCTATGTCTTGTCAAGACTTCTTCTTGCTCTACTTAGTGGGACCTTGAGACGCTCAGATTAGAGTAGTAGCCTATCGTGTCACTGGATCATTTGACTTTGCTCTCATTTACCGACTAAGATGATCTCGAGTAGTTTCAGGAATATTAATTGACGTGCATTTTTTCTTTATATAAGTAAGTTATGATTCAAACTTAACGATTATTATCGCGATGAACTGATTTATCAGGTATGGTTTCATGTAATTAATGTTGTGTTGATGGGATGTTATGATGTGGTGCGAGCTACTTATAAGTAGTATATGTCGCGAGTGTAAACGTAATGTCTGGCAGCAGCAGAAGATGGGGGAAGATCAAGAAAGGAAGAGTGGGGGGAACACAATGGAATTTGTATGAAACGCATGAATAGTGAAATGTCAGACAATGGATTGATGATGCATTGAAGATTTGCAAATTAACCGTTTACGATATGGTTTTCCTATTTTACTGAGTAACTCTGTAATTTTCGTTAAATAGAATTCGGTTGCCTTCACCTGTGTTCTCCTTCACTACACGTGTACGTACATCAGTTCAAGTTGTCATGCCACACACAGACATGGACTTACCCATTCATATTGCATAATTGTAGAGGTTGTAACAGCAGTATTAGGGATTAAAAGAATGATTGGAAAATTTTTATCCCAGTGTAAAGGTCATGAACAATTTGAAAAGATTAGAATTTTGAGCGGAGATAAAAAGACTGTTTGCATCTCCGACATAGCAAATAATTTTGAGCCAACCAAGGTAGGCTACATCTACCAAGATGGCTCAGTTCAATTGTCATTGATCTGATAGATTTGTGACATGTTTTTTGGTTTGTTTTACTGGGTTCAATTCAATCTTAATTGATGAAAAAACATGTTTTATTATGATGCACAGTGTCCGAAATCAAAATTCATTACTCGCTGTTCTCTCGAAATGATCATTTGAACGAAACTGAAAGAATGGAAGAGGAAGTCTATTTGGTTACCGAATACTGTTATAATGCTGCCAAGTAGCTATTGAAATCTTACCGACGTCCAAATTCAGATATTCTAATACGACCCCAAATCTCCTAAATATCAGAACACAACACCGTTAGATGAAGTTGTTTATGGGGTCGAGTACAATAGAGAGAGGAAGGCAGGAATGAACGGAAAGAATAGCTTTACAGATAATGCGTATTTATACATTTAGGTCGAATAGGAAATAGTATCAAAGTCTGTGACATTGACAGTTAAGACAACCAATAAGAAACAACATTAGAGTACGTGATATTGATATCTAGGACAACCATAAAATTGACCACTAAATTCCCTTAGGATATTGGATGAATATCCTACCAAGTACCCATTTATATCTGTGTATATATATATACATCCTTTCCCCCTTAGAAAATAAATCCATCTTTCAACCAATGATATACATTCGTCCTTGAGGACATTTTCGGTTGTCTTCAAGTGACTTTCTCATTTAACTTCTTCTGACTAGCTTTCTGTATTAATGGTGACTTTGTTGTTCGAATTTGGTGAGTACCATGAAAAGTTTTTGAAACAATTATTCGAGATTAAGCTGTTTATCGTCTAGACTAAAATATCACAGTGGATAACTGACAACGACTAGGTTGTCTATTTGAATAACTGAACTATTTGTTTCCTTGACATCCAAATAGCTCAACATAGTTGTTTCAACATATCAATTATGTCTGACCATCATATAATCTGTTCAAGTGCGTATATATATAAAAGGCGTACAACCATAATTTAAGACATCTCGATGGCTGGCAATACACTGAGAATTTCACATTGTACTCATTCATCATCAACAACAACGTAGAACTTTGCACATAAATACAGCAGTTCAAGTTGCCATACCATATTAGCACAGAGAGATATAATTGTCAATTCAAATCCGATTGTAGTAGAGGTAGTCAAAGTATTAGTAGTAATCAGAGAGATTAGGGTTCGAAGATGTTAATTCAAGAAGTATAATTCAGTGAGGTAAATTTAGAAAGAGAGAGGTGATGAAGAATTTAGAAAGTTAAAATTTCATAGAACACAAACAGTAAATGCACCTACACACCTGCACTCCCAGGTTGTTAAGACCAACGCTAATCTACCTTCTTTTTCAGGTTCCTCAAAAAACACCCTTCCATGGTGTAAGAAGCCGGGAAGCAAAATCCACCGTATAATACTCATAAAAGCTTCACATTGTACTAAACACATACTACTGAATAAAGCCATTACAATAAATATTATTCAATCAGACACACCAGTTTAATTAATCATGTTCCAAATAGACTGGAACATGTGTATTATTACACATATTTGAAATCATCACCCAATGATTGTTAGACCACCACCATTAGAAACCTGGAAGAAGCATTAGAAGGCCGTTTTGTCCTAGTATGGGACTCATCAGTGGCAGTGCGCATCCATGACTCCTTCAACTCGCAGGATTCGAACCCGGGACCTTCGGTATTATGCGCGAACGCCTAACCGTCGGACCACTGGGTCGGCCGGGATCCAACGGTATTCATGTCTAACTCTGATTGATCTAGGGATTTCGCGCGATCAGTGCTTCCAGGTTTCTTCTAATAGTGATGGTCCTAACAAATGATTGGTTAATGATTTCAAATGTGTAATAAAACACACACAACTCTCCAAAACTCTACCTCAAAATGTTGTATTATTATTTTCGGATTACTATACTGTTCACATTTGTTATCTTTCTTTCATTCAAACAATGATAATAGGAAACTGTACGATTTTTTAAACATTGGTTTGGTATACAATTGAATGGTGTATTTTGGGAATTTATACGTCCATGGATTTTATTTATCATTGTGAATGATATTGTAATTATCACTACATCAATTTATGCATTGACTACATTGAATCATGTAAGTTTGTTTTGTTTTGTTTGTTTGTTTAAATTAATATATAATTATTGAATGTTGATTACGCGCGAAATTCAAAAATAACATGATAGATTGTTTGTTGTATTGTGGTGCGCGCTACTTATAAGTAGTATATGACATGAGTGTAAACGTAATGTCTGGCAGCAGGAGATGGGGGAAGATCAAGAAAGTAAGAAGAGTGGGGAGAACACAATGGAATTTGTATGAAATGCGCATGAATAAGTGAATATGTCAGCCAATGGATTGATGATGGATTGAAGATTTGCAAATTAACCGTTTACGATATGATTTTCCTATTTTACTGAGTAACTATGTAATTTACGTTAAATACGATTTCGGTTGCCCTCACTTGTGTTCTCCTTCACTACAGTATGTGATGGTGAAGTTGTGTTCTCTGTAGTTGAGGAAGATGTTTTAATTGTGGAGCTTTCATCAGTTTAATCTCCTTATGGCAGAAATGCATAAAGTCACTCACTCACTGACATGTCGACTACTGAGTCATGTTGATAGATGTAGGCTATCTGGTTGGGGTCCGCGAGACGAAAGTCGCCAATGGTTAGAGATCTTGAACGATATGGCTCAAAATCGTTTGCAATGGCGCAACAAGTGCATCCATTCTTTGTGTTCTCTCTAATTTTAACCTTCTGAATTTCTCATCCTCTCTATCTTTCTCTTTCGAAATTTATCTCACTGAATTATACTTCTTGAATAATATCTTCGAACCTTAATCTCTCTGATTACTGTTAATACTTCTACTATCTCTATCATTCTTGTATTTGAACTGACATTTGCGTCTCTGTGCTAATGTTGATGTGGTATGGAAACTTGAACTGATGTACGTACGGTATGAAGTTGTACGTTGCGACTGACTGATGGTTACAGTATTAGACAAACAGATAGATACAACGTAGAACTTCATACATAAGTACATCAGTTCAGGTTGACATACCACGTTAGCACACAGACACAAATGTCAGTTCAAATCCAGGAGTGATAGCGATATGAGAATTATTAGCAGTAATGAAGAAGATTAAGGAGCGACGATATGGTTCGAAAAGTATAATTCATTAAGATAAATTTATTAGGAGAAAGATAGAGATTATGAGGAATACAGAAGCTTAGAGTTTGAGAGAACACAAAGAGTGGATGCACTTGAGCCATTGAAAATGATTTGAGTCATGTCGTTCAAGGTCTCTAACCATTGGTGACTATCGTCTCGCCGACCCCAGCCAGGTAGTTGATACCTACCAACATGATTCACTCCACTTGTCAGTGATGAAAGCTTCACAACCAAAACAGCATCCAACTCAGAGAACGCAACTCTACCACAATCATCCCCTTAAGCTACATATTTTCTCCGCCATCACTTTGTTTGTATGGTGGTATTATTAACGAAATCTTCCGCTGTTCGTAACCTGCTTGAACTCGATGGATAAGTGAATTAAAGATGGTGCTTACGTTAAAAATTACCAAACAAATCGTTCTTAAAGGAAATCGTACAATGAAGAACTCGTTGTGACTCAATGCAGAGTCAAGAATATTTTTTTTAGTGAAAATAGATACTATACTCCCCCTTCTTACGTTCTCGTAAGTTTGTAATGTGGTGGTATGGCAACCTGAATTGATGTACTTACTGCCAGGATTAGAACCCGGGACCTTCGATATTGGGCGCGAACGCCTAACCATCGGACCACTGGGCTAGCATCCAACGGTGTTAATGTCTAAATATGATTGATCTACAGATTTTGCGCGACCTCACCCATTTGTCTTTGGTAGTTACTACCTACACCCGACAGGGTTGAACTCCATTGGTCACGTCTTCTCACTAGAACTTCTATTATTTCCTCACGAAGCTTCTAGTCACTAGTGACCACTGTAACGAGGTGCAGGAGTCGTGGATACGCACTGCCGCTGATGAGTCCCGTACCAGGACGAAACGGCTGTCTTTCAGTGCTTCCAGGTTTCTAATGGTGGTGGTCTAACAATGATTGATTGATGATTTCAAATATGTAAAATTTACTCACTACACTACTATCAAATACACTAATAATCATAAATTCTGATAGCATTTTTCAATTTTCCTCTACAATACACATCTTATCTATCTATCTGTTAAACTATTTCTAATTTCATAGTATGAACATTTGTGTGCTCTCTGTTAAATTGAATGTAATTGACAATCAAACTAGAGATAGGTGTAGTTCTGTTTTTTTTCGTTTCTTCTAATTATAAAATGATGCATAGTTATTGTGTGTATGTGTGTGTATCAGTTATTGTGATCAGTCAGTCGATCGATCGACCGATCGACCGATCAGTCAATAAATTTTTTCACATGAAGTAATAATTTTTCAAAATATGTATATACCTACTACTGTTACTCTTAATGGAGCATAGACCCGCCGACCAGCGAATTATTTTTCTGGTTAGCCATTTTGTTTTAGCGAGTTAATTTTCTACTACGGGATGAGGGTCGCTAACCCCCCATGCTCAACCCTCCTCCTCCTATATCCACCCGAGCTTATGACTGGGAATAACCCTAGAAGGGCTTCAGACGGAGTTATAGACCTACTAACTAAAATCACATAACAAACGCAGCCGGATTGAATTTCAGTTGCATATACAACTTTACTATGATTAAAATCAGTAGATGATAAGCAATGGAACTAATGAAGACAAGTTAACTTGTCAATGTCAATTTTTTGACAAATCGATATGATTGCTCACAGATAGACAAACAGACAGATACAACGTAGAACTATGCACGTAAGTACATCAGTTCAGGTTGCCACAACACATTAGCACAGAGACATTAATTTGTCAGTTCAAATACAAGAGTGGTAGCGATAGTAGAATTATTAGCAGTAATGGAGAAGATTAGGGAGCAAAGATATGATTCGAAAAGTATAATTCAGTAAGATAAATTTAGAAGGAGAAAGATAGAGATTATGAAGAATGCAGAAGCTTAGAGTTTGAGAGAACACAAAGAGTGGATGCACCTGCGTCATTGCAAACGATTCTGAGCCATGTTGTTCAAGGTCTCTAACCATCGGTGATTTTCGTCTCGCGGACCCACAACCAGGTAGTCTACATATCCCAACATGACTCAGTCCACTTTCTAGCGACTTCATGAATTTGTGTCATGTTTTGGTCTGGCCACCCCTAACTTTCTTCCAGTCTACTCCCACACCACAAAACGTAGCTCATCGAGGCAGTCGGTGGTTAGGCATTGTTTACTCTCGTTTTCTGTTCTCCCAATGTAATGTATTTTGTCACATACATTCCGGATATGTTCTTTTCAATGCAGCGCTACATCTAGACTCAATGTTACCAGATAATTTATCAATGTTGTTAGGAATCGTGTGCTAGGTTAGGATGGCAGATCAATAGATGAAGTAGTGAATGTTCATCAGTTGAGGTGGTTAGGACATGTGTTACGTATGTCAAGCCGCCGTGTGACTCGACGAGTAGGAGAAGAGCTGGAAGAAAGATAGGAGCGGGCACATCAAGACATGGCGCAAATCCATGAAATCACTGACAAGTGGACTACTGAGTCATGTTGGTAGATGTAGACTGTCTGGTTGGGATCGGCGAGACGAAAGTCACCAATGGTTAGAGACCATGAATATCATGGCTGTAAATCGTTTTCAATGGTGCAGGTGTATCCATTCTTTGTGTCCTCTCAAATTCTAGTCTTCTGAATTTCTCATCACCTTTATGATTCTGCTCTTAAATTTCTTTCGCTAGATGACACTTCTTGAATAATATCTTCAAACCCTAATCCCTTCGATCATTGCCAATACTTCTACTATGTGATTTCAATTGATAATTTGGTCTTTCTTAGCTAATGTGATATGATAACCTGAACTAATGTACATACGTACGAAGTTCTACGTTGTAACTGACTGACGGACTTACTTTGTTACCCACACATACAGTCAGTCAGATGCAACGTAGATATTCGTACATAAGTACATCAGTTCATGTTGCCATACCACATTAGCACACACAGAGATATAATTGTCAATTCAAATCCAATAGTAGTAGAGGTAGTAAAGGTATTAGCAGTAGTTAGAGAGGTTAGGATTAGAAGATATTATTCAAGAAGTATGATTCAGTGAGAAAAGTTTAGAAAGACAAATCTAGAGAGGTTGAAGAATCTAGAAGATTAGGATTTGAGAGAGTTCAACGAATGGATGCACTTGCGCCACTGCAAACGATTTTGAGCCATGTCGTTCCAGGTCTCTAACCATTGGTGACTTTCGTCTCGCGGACACCAACCAGTTAGCCTACATCTACCAAAATGACTCAGTACACTTGTCAATGACTTGATGGATTTGTGTCATGTTTTGGTATGGCCACCCCTAACTTTCTTCTAACCTATTCATACACTACAAAACATAGCTCGTCGAGGTAGTTGGTGGTTAGGCATACGTAACAGCTATCCCAACCGACTCAACTGATGAATTTTCATTACTTCATCTATTGATCTGCCATTCTTACCTAACACCCGTTTCCTAATAACAGTGTTGCTCACCCACACACACACACATACACGCTTTGTGAATTGCATTCTGTCACTCTGGATTCGTGAACATACATACCATTAAGATTTCAAAATCTTTCACACACGTATTAATTAATAATCAACAAATATGTTTGAATGTATTTGTCTAAGTAATGAACTAACTATAAAAAAATTTCTGTAAACAAGACTTAAGTATTCCATTACACACACACAGACACATTGTTGTCATTCTTGTGTAGGACAAATTTCTTTTGTCTACACAAATCAAAAAAATAAATCGATTTGTTTGTAGAACTTGATTTAGTTTTTTATATGCGTGCTTCACTTATGTATATTTTTCTGATCTAACAATCCTCAATCCCTTTTTTGTTATTAGTGTACGTAATAGTCCCTTCCTTCTTAAAATTATTACGTAACTTTGAGTATCAGTTGTTCCTTTTCTAGAATTTTCATGTTG